TTAATTTTCTGTCTCATTGATCTGTCTAATATTGACAGTGGGGGTATTAAAATCTCCCATTATTATTATGTAGTAGTCTGAGTCTTTTTGTAGGTCTCTAAGAACTTGCTTTATAAATCTGGATGCTCCTGTATTGGGTGCATATATATTTAGGATAGTTAGCTCTTCTTGTTGCATTGATCCCTTTACCGTCATGTAATGCCCTTCTTTGTGTTTTTTGATCTTTGTTGGTTTAAAGTGAGACTAAGATTGCAGCACTTGGTTTGTTTTTTGTTTGTTTGTTTGTTTGTTTGTTTGCTTTCCATTTGATTGATAAATCTTCCTTAATCCCTTTATTTTGAACCTATGTATGTCTTTGGACATGAGATGGGTCTCCTGAATACAGCACACTGATGGGTCTTGACACTTTATCCAATTTGCCAGTCTGTAACTTTTAACGAGGGCATTTAGCGCACTTACATTTAAGGTTAATATTGTTATGTGTGAATTTGAATCTGTCATTATGATGCTAGCTACTTACTTTGCCCATTAGTTGATACAGTTTCTCCATAGTGTGAATAGTCCTTACATTTTGGTTTGTTTTTGCAGTGGCTGGTACTGGATTTTCCTTTCCATACTTACTGCTTCCTGCAGGAGCTCTTGTAAGGCAGGCCTGGTGGTGACAAAATCCCTCAGCATTTGCTTGTCTGTAAAGAATTTTATTTCTCCTTCACTTATGAAGCTTAGTTTGGCTAGATATGAAATTATATGTTGAAACTCTTTTCTTTAAGAATGTTGAATTTTGGTTCCCATTCTCTTGTGGCTTGTAAGGTTTCTGCAGAGAGATCTGCTGTTAGTCTGATAAGTTTCCCTTTGTGGGTAACCTGACATTACTCCTTGGCTTCTCTGAACATTTTTTCCTTTATTTCAACCTTGGTGAATCTGACGATTATGTCTTGGGGTTGCTGTTCTTGAGGGGTGTCTTTGTGGTGTTCTCTGTATTTTCTGAATTTGCATGTTGGCCTGCCTTGTTAGGTTGGGGAAGTTCTCCTGGACAATATCCTGAAGTACATTTTCCAGCTTGTTTCCATTTTCTCCATCTCCTTCTGGCACTCCAGTCAAACGTAGGTTTAGTCTTTTCTCATAGTCCCATATTTCTTGGAGGCTTTGTTTATTCCTTTTCATTCTTTTTTATCTAATCTTGCCTTCATGCTTTATTTCATTAAGTTGATCTTCAATCTCTGATATCCCTTCTTTCAGTTGATCGATTTGACTATTGATATTTGTTTATGCTTCACAAAGTCCTCATACTGTGTTTTTCAGCTCCGTCAGCTCATTTATGTTCTTCTCTAAACTGATTATTCTCATTAGCAATTCCTCTAACCTTTTATCAAGTCTCTTAGCTTCCTTGCATTGGGTTAGAACATGCCCTTTTAGCTCAGAGGAGTTTGTTATTACCTACCTTCTGAAGCTACTTCTGTCAATTTGTCAAACTCATTCTCCCTCCAGTTTTGTTCCCTTGCTGGCGAGGAGTTGTGATCCTTTGTAGAGGAGGTATTCTGGTTTTGAAACTTTCAGCCTTTTTGTGCCGGTTTTTCCTCATCTTCGTGGATTTATCTACCCTTGGTTTTTGCTGTTGGTGACCTTTGGATGGGGTTTTTGCATGGTTGTCTCTTTTGTTGATGTTGATGGTATTGCTTTCTGTTTGTTAGTTTTCCTTCTAACAGTCAAGTCCCTCTTCTGCAGGTCTGCTGGAGTTTGTTGGGGGGTGCACTCTAGAACCTGTTTGCCTGGGTATCACCAGTGGAGGCTGCAGAACAGCAAAGATTGCTGCCTGCCCCTTCTTCTGGAAGCTTCGTCCCAGAGGGGCACCTGCCAGACGCCAGCCAGAGCTCTCCTGAATAAGGTGTCTGTTGACTCCCTGCTGGGAGATGTCTCCTCATCAGGAGGCACAGGCGTCAGGGACCCAATTGAGGAGGCAGTCTGTCCTTTAGCCGAGCTCAAGTGCTGTGCTGGGAGATCCACTGCTCTCTTCAGAGCTGGTAGGCAGGAACATTTAAGTCTGCTGAAGCTGAGCCCACATTCACCCCTTCCGCAGGTGCTTTGACCCAGGGAGATGGGAGTTTTATCTATAAGCCCCTGACGGGGGTTTTTGCCTTTCTTTCAGAGATACCCTGCCCAGAGAGGAGGAATCTAGAGAGCCAGTCTGGCTACAGCTGCTTTGTGGTGCTGCAGTGGGCTCTGCCCAGCCCAAACTTCCTGGCAGCTTTGTTTATACTGTGAGGGGAAAACTACCCACTCAAGTCTCAGTAATGGTGATGCCACTTCCCCCATCAAGCTCAAGCATCCCAGGTCGACTTCAGACTGCTGTGCTGGCAGTGAGAATTTCAAGCCAGTGGATCTTAGCTTGCGGAGCTCTGTGGAGGGTGGGATCCACTGAGCAAGACCACTTGGCTCGCTGGCTTCAGCCTCCTTTCCAGGGGAGTGAATGGTTCTGTCTCACTGGCATTCCAGGTGCCACACTGGGGTATGAAAAAAAAACTCCTGCAGCTAGTTTGGTGTCTGCCCAAATGGCCACCCAGTATTGTGCTGGAAACCCAGGGCCTTTGTGGTGTAGGCACCCGAGGGAATCTCCTGGTCCGTGTGTTGCAATGACCATGGGCAAAGCATAATATCTGGGCTAGATAGCATGGTCCCTTATGGCACAGTCCCTCAAGGTTTCCATTGGCTAGGGGAGATAGTTCCCTGACCCCTTGCACTTCCTGGATGAGGTGATGCTGACCCTGCTTCTGCTCACCCTCCGTGGGCTGCACCCATTGTCTAACCAGTCCCAATGAGATGAACCAGGTACCTCAGTTGGAAATGCAGAAATCACTCACCTTCTGCATTGGTCTTGCTGGGAGTTGCAGACCAGAGTTGTTTCTATTTGACCATCTTGCCCAGGAATCAATTAAAAGAAAATCTTAAAACAGGTAGAGATGAATGTCAACTGTGTACAAAGGGAACAGAAGAGTCTTATAGGAGATGTCTGGGTAGCATTTTTTACCCAGCAAAACTATCTTTTAATAATAAACATTGGCGTAAACTGTCAGTTTGTTATTACCAGATGCACATCTTGATTTATGTTTTTA